TATGTAATTCTATCAATGTACTGCTTGTGTTACTTGTATTTTCATATGGAGCTCTACTTCTCCCTTCTGCAAGTCCCCTCCCAATGGAGCTATCCTGCAGGACCTAGGTTCCCCAGGGCTGGGTTCCTCCTGCCCCAAAAAACTACAATCAATCAATCAATCAATCAATCAATCACACACACACACACACACACACACACACACAAAATATAGAGAGCATCTGAGGGGACCGGGTCAATCAGCACTCCCAAGCTGACCCCTTATATGTCCCTGGACTCAGCAGGCTGGGTCGAGCAGCACTTCCAAGGTGCCATCCTCCTATGCCACAGGTTCAGCATGTCCCTATCCACACTTTCATGTTACAATTGTTCTGGTAGTAACCCACTTGATGAGCAAACCCCACAGGATTTTGGGGATCTTTAGCTTAGGTAAGAGGAGCGTTGCTGCAGAGTAAATGGGGAAGCCAAAAACACAAGGGGGGGGGGAGAAGCAACCAGCTTAACCATAAAAGTTATTTATTGCCAGATAATAACCATACAAAGAGAGTTAAGCAAACAAAACAGTTCCAATGTTAAATCTAGCTTAAACTTGATTACAAAAGTCAGGTTTAGAGAACTATACCTGATCACACAATCAGGGCCGTCCTTACCCATACGCAAAGTATGCAGCTGCGTAGAGCACCAGGAAACTTGGGGCGCCAAATTTCCTGGTGCCCTGCGCAGCTGCATACTGCTCCAGCCCCTGCCCCACCTCTTCCCCAGGCTCCCCACCCCTGCTCCACCCCTTCCCACCCTGCTCTGCCCCAGCCCCACCCCTTCCCACCCCTGAGGACTGCAGCAGGGCCGGGCCTGCACTCACCGGCAGTGGGAAGTGCAGGGACCCAGCCCCAGCCGCATCACCAGTGAGTGCTGGGGGATGGTTCCCCCCTGCCCTCCAAGCCAGCCTCCTCCAACCCCATGGAGGCCTGGGGCTAGCCCTCCCACCCCCACGGAGGCCTGGGGCCCCCCACCCCTCCCACAGGGGGGCTGCATAGTGCCCCAGAATAGCTAGGGATGGCCTTGCACTCAAGTCAGGGATAGAAAGCTATTACTAGAGTAGAAAAAAAAAGAGAGAGAGAGAGAGTTGGGTTTTCTCCACTCCGTGAAGCTTGAACGGATTGGGGTTCCCAGATGGTGGTGGTAGCTGAGGTTCCGGAGTGCTGGAGACAGGCTGAGCCCCCAGCACGGTCAGTCAGGAGATGACGACGTCCCAGTGGAACTGATGCAGATTTTGGATCCAGGCATCAAAACACTTACTTGAGCGTGGGTAGGGGTTTTTTGTAAGGAAACAACAATGGTTCAAGGGAGAACACTAGATTTGTTTATGGGTAAACTGATGGCTCAAGGCAGTATACCAAAGTTGTTTTGTTCAGGCTCGACAATAGGAACTGATCATTCCTGGCTATGGGCGGTGTTCCTTCGAGGGAGCTCACAATGCAATTAGGCAACTTCAGTGTTTTGGATCCCAATAAAGGATTTATTTCTAGAATTGGTCTGATAACTACTGAGCTGGGTATGTGCAGGTGTGGGTTCATTAACATCTGGAGCAGAGATCCCCCATCATGCAGTGCTTCCCTGCTTTTCTGGTCCCAAAGTTCAGTGCAGTTCTTGCCTTGGAATCTCTGTTCTCCATTCTATATGGTAATAGAGATGCCTCCCTGTCCCATCTTCAATGCAAATGAGGCTAGGGGAGTTTCTTTAATCCTGTCACCCTTGTCCGGAGGGGTTTAGGTGTATCTCCCGCTGCCTTTTCATTGCTTTTTGTAAGTCTTTCTTCTGATCAGCTTTTGTTCAAGCAGAGGCTGGGGGGGCAGGATGTACTTCGTGAGTCGGACAGGCTGGGTACTGAGCCCTGGTTCCCCAAGGACAGAGAGTTGACAGGTAACAAGTCTTCCCCCCACACTGATGGGATGCTTGCGCTGAGTATCCCCATCACATCCTTACTCTGTGGTACCAGGTTTGATCTTCAATCCATCGCAGCCACTGCATCAGTCGCTGGATACTGCAAACCAGTAGAACCAGACCAATTGCTAGTATAATTCGGGAACTGATTACCACCACGATGGGGTGAAGCATGATATTCAAAAGACCTGTTGCACTGGGGCTCCCCCCAAGCAAAGTCTCCCATCTGGAGTGATGGCCTGTGTTTTTAACTGTAGCTGCTAGCCTAGAGATCTCCTGCTTGTGGTGTTGAATCTCGAGTTTGCCATTCTCCCCCAAAGATTGAAGCCTTTGCAGCTCAGCTTGTAAGGAGGGCTGAGTTAATAGTCCCTTAATGGCAGGGAGACTCATTCCCAGTGAAATGGGGGAAACCTCCTTGTAGAGCTCAGGATAGGCATTCAAATGTTGTTCAGTCCATATAGGCACAGTAAACTTAATATCACAATTAACAATGGTGATTACATTACAGAAACAGCGATTAATGTAAGGCACCATGGGTTGAATCCAATGTCCATTAATCAATACAATATTACATCTCGTTCTCACACACACACATGCTTTACCAGCATAGACAATAACAGACCCCCTCTTCCTAGATAACATAGAAGGAACATTGAGACTTATTCCAAGGTTTTGGGAAGAAGCATTCATCATGTTCCTCCAATGCTTGTTCTTCACAGCTATAGCCCAAACCTTCTTTTCTCCTACACCCTTTTACATGTACTGTGTTCCACATACTATCTTTCACCCAGCTGTCGCCAGTTCATTCCTTGATCAGATTTGCAATTTGTCTCCATTTGTCTGAATGAGAAATGGAGCGCCCATCTGCGGCTACCATTTCTCTATTCAACCAAAGGGAAAGCCACACAGTGATTGCTCTGGCTGGCCAGTCAGAGTCAGTATAAGTAGTAACAGAAGTGTCCCAAGATTCATAAGCTAGGACAGCTTTAACTGCCTCCACCTCGGCTGCTTGGGCAGAATGAAGGCAAGCTCGTCGTTGGAGCATCTCTCAGTCATTTACGCGGATGGCTCCATACCCTGTTTGGAGATGACCTGTATGTAGAAAACTTGAGCCATCTGTAAACCAAATTGAAAACCCCTTCTGTTTAGCATCTTCAAGCCTCATGCCTCCCTTGACTGGCCACTCAAGGTGTTTTACAAGGGGGAGGGGGCAGATATGCTCCTCTCCTTCTATAATCAGCCCATATGGGGCAGGCGAAATGGCTTGCTCTTTTTTAAACTCAACTCCTCAATTTACTAGGGTGAGGGTCCATTGAGCAACGTGGGGATTAGAGACCTGGCCATCCTGTATTTTCCCTGATATGATGTACTTGAGTGGGGAATGCACAGTCTGAACAATAATCTTCGACCCTCCAATAATAAATTCCCAATATGTGAGGCTCCACATCAATGCAAGACACTCCTTTTCACAGGGGGTAAAACCTTGCTCTGTTTGATCCAGGAGCCTGGAGGCATATGTGATGACTCTGAGCTGGTCGCATTGCCTTTGGTTGAGCGTAGCTCTGATGCTTGTCTCTGAGGAGGCCAATTGAATCACAAAGGGCAGGGCAGAGTCCGGATAAGCCAGGGTAGGAGCACTAGCTAAACCTTGTTTCAAGGTGGCCAGGGCAGTCTGTTGGTCTGGTCCCCATTCCCAAATCCTGTTTTTCTTTAATAACTGGTACAGAGGCTTGGCTTTGTCAGAGAACATTTCAATGAACTCACTGGAGAAATTAAAAGTTCCCAAGAGAGCTCGTAGGGAGTGCGTGTCGGTGGGAGCAGGTAGCTTTCCTATCGTTTCTACCCTTCGTTGATCAGGAGTCTGGCCATTCTCCCCGAGGCACACACCCACTTGTTGCTGTACTAACTGAGCCTTTCCTCTATTTACCTTAAATCCAGTTTCCTGCACTATAGTCAATACTTCTCTGGTGATTTCCCTGTTCATTTCTGAAGTGGGGGTGTGTATTAAAATGTCATCCATATATGAAATTACATGAGAGTGGTGGTTAGGGTGCAAATAGTCCCACAATTTAGTGACGTGGGCATGACAAATACTAGGGGAAGAATGGAAACCTTCGGGAGTCCGGCTGAAGGCATATTGCTGTCCCCTATAGGTAAAAGCAAACTTATACTAACATGAAGGATCATAGAATATCAGGGTTAGAAGGGACCTCAGGAGGTCATCTAGTCCAACCCCCTGCTCAAAGCAGGACCAATCCCCAGACAGATTTTTTGCCCCAGATCCCTAAATGGCCTCCTCAAGGATTGAACTCACAACCCTGGGTTTAGCAGGCTAAAGCTCAAACCACTGAGCTATCCCTCCCCCAATTTTTATGTGGTGTGCGGACAGTATATAAATATACTGTCCGCACACCACATACAGCTGAATCGACGGATGCAACTTCTGACGTGGTCTGGTGCGTCCTGACTCTGACCCCGCCTGTTTTCCTCATGATTGAATATGTCCCTGCAATACACGCACCGCGATCTCTTGCCATCTTCCTTCCATCTTGGTTTGAACTTGACAGGCTGAGTCTTTATCACATCTCCCTTTATATCTTCACCCAGGTCAAAGTCTGAGCTGTCTATGTAAGGATAATTGTAATTGTGTTTTGAGGCATCGCTTTTGGCAAAACGTATGTACAAGTCCACATCATCGGTGTCGATGTACTTCCCTCGCGAGGGGGCATGGTGGTAGTCCTCATAACCTGTCATCCAAATCTTTTCTCGTGGGTTAATGCGCACTATCTCCTCCGCATCATCATCTGGAAAGCTGACGTGTCGATAGGACCTTTGTAAGGATGGAGGAGTATAGCCATGAAAGCATTAGCCAAATCGATCATGGAGAACCATTTTGAGCCAGCTGCTATGATTTCATTGTATTTAGCTACTACAGGGGCTGCTGCAGGGGTGGCCACATTTAATGCACAGAAGTCTATTGTCATTCTGTAAGTGACCCAGTCCGCCTTAAGGATTGGCCATACTGGTGAACTGCAGATACTTTGCATAGGCACGAGCACCCCTTGTTCCAAGAGACAGTCTATGGTATTTTTAATGCCCTCCTTTGCTGCAGCTGGGTATTTATATTGCCTTTGGGGAGGGGGATCTTTTTCCTCAATCAAAACTTCAGCAATCTATTTTTCCATACTCCACCTTATTTTTAGTCCATACACTGGGAAATTCTTGTACCCTGGATCACTAACAGAGATTAGGGTGGCTGTGGGTGCCTTTATAGCAGCACAATGATGCACAGCAGAGATCTCTGCAGGGCCCCCTCTAACTTCCATAACACACCGTTAGCTAGCGGCACAGTTAGCTGAAACGTTCAGAGGAAAGTTTGTGGATGATACCAAGCTGGGAGGGGTTGCAAGGGCTTTGAGGCTAGAATTAAAATTCAAAATGATCTGGACAAACTGGAAAAACGGTAATAAGTAAATAGGATGAAATTCAATAAGGACAAATACAAAGTTCTCTACTTAGGAAGGAACAATCAGTTGCACAGATTAAATGGGAAATGACTGGCTAGGAAGTAGTACTGCAGAAAGGGAACTGGGGCCATAGTGGATCACAAGCTAAATATGAGTCAACAATGTAACAGTGTTGCAAAAAAAGCAAACAATTCTGGGATGTATTAGCAGGAATGTTGTAAGGAAGACATGAGAAGCAATTCTTGGGAAGAGAGGTGAGTGAGATAAAAGAGGTATGTGTGCAGCGAGGCTGAGGTGAAGAAACTGTGAGGGAGGGAGGGGGTTAAAGCAAACAGCCAAGCAGCAAATACTCCTGAGGGCATTCTGCACCAAAAAATTAAAAACTGCGCACAATATTTTAAAATTCTTCAAGCTTTATTTCTCAATAAATAAATGCAGAGGTTCCAGCATGGCAGTGGGGAGTACAGGCCACTGGTTGTACGAAGGTGGGAAATCACCCTGCAGTCTCCCCACCCCCAGGACACAGGACCTGACATAGCACAAGGCCTGGGCCTACCCCAGAAACACCCCGAGGCCCTGCCCATCTGTGCCAGGTGCACTAAGTCTGGGGCAGGCAGAAGCAACCAGGCAGGATCCAAGTGTGGAGGAGCTCAGTGAGGAAGGGGTGGGCCAGGTGTAAGGTTAGAGTATTCTTGTGGGACAATCTCGGTGCAGGCAGGCCAGTGTGTGGGGGGGTGTCTAGGTGTGGGGGGATCTGGATGCACAGTGACTCGTTGGGGGGGGCAATGGAACTCTGCAAGGGTTTCCAGGTGAAAGTGGCTGGGACTCAGCAGAGGGGTCTGGGTGTGGGGATCTCATTAAGGGAGTCTGGGGGACTGGGGCTTGGTGGGGTGGAGGTCTGGGTGCAGAGAGCTCAGTGGGGGTGGTCTGGGCATAGGGGTCCAGAGGCAGGGGGTCTGGGTGCAAGGGGACTCCAGATGCAGGGGTTGAAGTTCAGTGGCGTGAGGTTTGGGAATGGAAAGCTAAGGGGGTTCTGAGTGAGGGTCAGGCTTGGCAGGGGTGTCTGGGTATGGGAGGGTCCAGATGCACAGAGGTTGGGTGGCTGGGGGAGCAGTTCCACATACAGTCGACCCCCCC